ACTTGTTATTATCTGTCTCTTTGATTATAGCCATTCAAGTGGGTGTAAGGTGGTATGTCCCTGTGGTTTTAATTTGTAGTTCCCTACTGACCAATGATGCTGAGCATCTTTTCACATGCTTATTGGCCATTTTCTATCTTCACACTCCATCTTGCTAAAGTGGCAGTTTTGCAATTACAGTAATTCTTTGATCTCTCAAAGTGGATATATATAAGCCTAGACAGCCAATTTTTGTCCCCAAGAAGCATTACCAGATAAAATATAAACATTCAGTTCAATTTGAATCTCAAATAAATAGTAAATCATTTTTAGTGTACATGTGTCCCAAATAATGCATGGGGCATACATATGTTTAAAAAAATGTTATTTTTTACTGGCATCTAGTGAGTAGAAGCAAGGGATGCTGCTAAACATCCCACAGAGAAAAGGAAAATTCCTCACAACAAAAATGATTATGCCCAAAATGTGAGTACTAGTGCCCACATTGGAAAGCCTGCCTTCGTCACTTAATGAGAACAAACTCCAGGAGACGAAAAGACCACGCAAGGTAGGAAACTGATGGCCTCAGAGAAGGGAGGCCTCTCCAAAACAGAACCAACAGAGAGGTCTGAGGTGGGTGAGAGGTTTCAGAGATGACTACGGCCAGCCTGCTTTGGGTGCTCTGATAAAAAGTCAAATTGATAGGACTTCTTTGAGGGTCCCTCTTGGCTATCAGAGAATTCATCAGGAAACACAGACTGCAAACAGCATCATCTTCTTCATCTGGCGGCAGCTGCTGTAAACCTTTATTGGAGCTGGAAAAAAACCCAGCCCACAGCAGTGGGTGCCATTGGCACAGCCCCCACTCCCAGCCCACAGGGGTAAGGAATTCTCCATGCAGCCCCACTCATGTGACATGAGTATGTTTGGTTTGAATAGCAGACAAGCTGAATGAAAGATTGCTTCTCCTTCCCAGTCAGAACTGCCAACTCTGTGCATTATGCCATTGTCTCTCAATTTTCTCCTCTTAACCAAAACATTCAGGACAGTGGGTGCCAAGCTACCATTTATCAAATTCTTTTGTGTGTGGATCATTCCAAGTAATGCCATGAACATCAGCTTCTAGTCCCTCAAAAATCAGAGATGAGAAGTTAGTGGACTTGATTGACCTCAAACCAAAGCACCAGATTTCTAGAATATTCCTTCTTAAAAACTTCCATGGCATGTGCTATATTTGCAATTATTTATGCTGCATCCCCATGGTAAACTGGTTGATGTGAGAAATTCTGTGTGCAGGGAAATGAGCAATTCAATAATTCAGAGGGCTCCTCCTCAACCATAGAAAGTTGCCGCAAGCAGTTCTGTCAGAAATAATTTAATTGCTCAGAGCCATCTTCAAACTCCAAAGATGTCAGGCAATTATTTCCTTCCAGTGACAAAAAGAAACACAAGGCTCATTTATCTGAAAATACTCAGTACTGCTTGTGCTATATAAATTCTTTGGAGTGATTTGGGGACTTTTATTGTACCAGTGTTTGTGGGCATGTTTCATTAGAATATTTAGCTTTTGTTTCCCAAATTTGTCCCTGAAAGCTAAGACAGCCAGAACAATAAGTGTGTTTTTAAAAAAATGATTATCAAATTAAATCACTGTTGATGTATCTATGAATAATTGGTGTGCACATGTAACTTTTTAAAAAGAAAATAATTCATAATTTTTCCTTTTTAAGTCTGCTTTTTCCCCCTTCAACTACACACATTTTATTCCTGGCTGCCTTAGCAATCCCATGTTTCTGTGGTATATTTGGAGGGATCAAGAGGAAAAAGTTCAAAATAAATCATCTTTGTGCTATGTCAAAAGGAAGTAGAGTTCTGCTCCACAGAACAGTTCCATACAACAAGCAGGTCATTTTTTTTTTTCCCCTAGAGAATAGAACCTTCGATGGGGCATGAAAGACATTAAATAAATCAACTGTCTCTTCTCACTGGCTTTCTCTGTGGGATAGTCACAACTACTAGGTGAAAAGGTGGTGCTGGTACCAAATCAAGCTGTACAGAAACTGCATTACAGAGGCCATATGTGCAATTGCTTCACTTGGCAATAACTTTCTACTCATGCAAACCCTTCATTCTCTATGCATGTTTTAAGACTCACCCAAACCAGCACTAACTCCTTGTTTTTCCTGATGGTACCTTCCTTTTATTGCAATGTGATGGAAATTTCCAGACACCTGGGAGACAGGATTTTGTTGTCCTTTTATCCCCCATCACATGAAGTGTCACTAATATAAAGATGTTACCCATATGGCTCTTGCCTTTGCCTGAAGGTGGGATCTTCTCTTCCTGAATGGTCCTGGGACCCTGGAGTGGATGACCCCCTTTACACAAGGGCTGACAACAGAGTCTGCCTACTTCCTTAAATAAGCCTATGGCCCCAACCAGGCACATAGTCCCAAAGGCTAGGGGTGGCACACTGCTGTTATTACTCCTGGGGTCCATGGGTAGACAGATTATTTTGGTCAGCTCATAAACCACTACATTTTATAATAAAAGAAAGGGAAAGAAAAGAATGATTCTGTGCTTTAAAAACCTTTGGGAGAAGGCTCACCCCCACCTCCAGACCCCATGTACTCCCAAGATCTGCTATCTGCCAGCAAACAGGATGAATTAAAACTGGAATAATGACAACAGTGTGGAAGAAGGCAATTTGAAAGATCAATTCCACTGAGACAGGCTCAAAAGTGACTCCCTGGGGCTACATTGTTTGGCCTACAGGATGGGCCCTACAGTTCTTACTAAAAATGGCTGCCCTGCAGCTCCTGTTCCACCCTGTATGTCTTTGTACAGAAGGTAGCTTACTCATCACAACAGACAGTGATCAGACAAGAATTGTGTGTGCATTTAAAAAAGGCCAGACTTCAAACACAGCTTCAACTACCCATTATTTTTAGAACATGATTAGGAATTGTCTTCAACTGCCTAATTTCCTGTTTCCTTCTAATCAGCCTTTTAAAAGACAGTACTGTATTCTTAAAACAGAATGTTAGAAGCACACAGGATTCCAGGAGAGACAGCACAATCATTGTTAGGAGAGCTTCAAAGATGGCTATAAAGGGCAGAGGATGGCCTCTGGGCCTGTTTTGACAGGTGCCAGGGTCAGAAGTCAATTAAGACAAAGTTCACTAGTTGGAGAACTTTCTGTTGTGTTGGAGAGCTATCACACAATGTCTGAAAACTTAACACGCCTTGGAGTAAATGTGCTGTGTATATGGGATTGTGGAAATGAAAGGTACAAAGTCTTTGCCTATAATGAACATACTTGTCCAGTTTTTCACATTACATAACATATGCAAGCCAGAATTGAATTCACACCCAGTAGGGAGTCAATCTGAAGCTGTGTGGACTCTAACTAGAAAAGATACTATGATTCAAAAGTAATACTCTGGTGGAAAAGGCAGGTTTAAAAGAAATAAGCACATATAATAACAATACACATAAGCATGAATATCATTATTTAAGGTTGGCAAAGTTCTTGGGATTTAACATGAAAAATCTCTCTTCTTGAAGAAGAAATTAGGAAATTTTGGTACTCCTTTACCTTGTAAGATATAACCTGATAGTCTAAGAAGATAACTCAGTAATCTTGGAAGCTACTGGAGATAGTAGGTCACAAAGAGAATTTCAAAATGGATACCTTCCCTTTTAAATGTTTCCCAATAGGAGTTTCTAGATTTGCTTTTACTTCTAAAGGTCAGATATGACACATGCATTTCCATTTTGCTTAGAATGTAAACTTCCAACATGCAAGAATGGTCCTACCTTCTCTTGCTTACTGTAACTCTTCCTTACACAAGGATTTTTCTCAGTATTTAGATAATAGTCAAAAATGACCAAGAAAAAGTCTATACATTTCAAGAAAATCCATTTTAAAAACTTACTCTTCTTCACTTACCTTATTTTTTTTTTCTTTCTGTATCCTCGGGTCCTAAAATCCCATACAGTGGAATGGAGTCTAAAAGTGTACGCAACTCAGTGGAAGGCCCTAAGAAGCTAAGGAAACATGAGTACTGTGTCTACAAGTGAGGAGAAAATGTCATAAGACTCAGGCCATCAAAACCAGCTGAGAACATTTCTTATGAAATCCGAAATGATTAAACTCATAGACGCAGAGATTAGAATGTGGTTGAGGGGGAGGAGGCAGGATGAAGAAATGTTGATCAAAGGGCATAAAGTTTCAGTTATGCAAGATGAACAGGTCCTGGAGGTCTACTGTACAATCTGGTGACTACACTTAACAATACTATACTGTATAGCTGAAATTTGCTAAGAGGGCATTTCTCAAGTGTAACTACCACAGAAAGAATGAATGGAAGAAAAGAAGGAAGGAAGCAAAGAAAGAAGGGGGAAGGTGAAGGAAAATAGTACCTATGTGAAGTGATAGATATGTAAATTAGCTTGATTGTGGTGATCATTTCACAATGAATATATGTACCAAAGCATCAAGTTGTACATTATAAGTACATATGCAATTCCTATTTATCAATTAACTTCAGTAAAATCACCAAAAAAAAAAAAAAAAAACAATCAACTGAGAAAATGTTTTAACCATTTACCTCAAAGCCAGCTCTGCCTTGAGTACATCAGAAACTCTGGTTAGACTCTGCCTAACCCACTCCAGGGCTTAACCAGCCTCCATTTTCTCTTATACACACTAGCAGGGTACACTAATTGGCTCTCTGTCTCCCTTGGCATTATTCTCTCACCAATTGGGATCACCTCAAATCAGTTGTATTTGTTCCCACAGCTGTTAATGTGTGCTTGTGATTATAACTATCTTTTTATTAAAAGTGGTATATGCAATGGTGTAGTCATTTGAGGACAGGTGATCCAAGGAGCATGAAACACACATCACATAGAGGAGTTTGAAACAGAGGCAAATGCATTGCAGCCCAGATCAAAGGTCCAGAAGAGACGCTGGTGTCAACACTCATTCACCCTTGCTGTGGTCCTCATTCACTCACCTGTAGTCTTCACTCATTCACCCTGCATCTCAAGGATAGGTGAAGATGGTGCAGCAGGGCATCTCTTGAGTCCTCTGTGGCTTTACCACTCTTCCTGACATCTCTGAAAACCACCAGGAAGGAGCTCTGTCATATATCCTGGAACCAGAAGTTGAGAATCAGATTCAGGGCCCAAAATTTCTAAAATTGCATGCAGTCATATGATCGACTGTAACTTGCAAAAGAGAGAGAGAGAGAGAGAGAGAGAGAGAGAGAGAGAAGTCTCTTTTCTTTGGCTTAGAAATTAGAGAACATTTGTGTTTATAAAAATGACTCAAGCTAATTAATTCATAGCTATCACTTGGAAACACTAGAAGGGGAAAGGTCTGTGTTTTTGTATTAAAAAAATTAAAACACAGTGAAATATTTAAGGTGCCAATTCAAAGCCCCATCCAATCAATATTAGTGAATATTTCAGCAGGATTGCATGATGCATCTTAAAGAAATCGACATTAGGAGATTTTTTTCCATATTCAGTATTGAATATAAAAATAGTATGCTGAAGCAATAAATAGTAGAAAGTCATTCTGGGTTTAATTTTATTTCACATTTTCGCAAAATTGATAAAGTGTGATGTGACAATCCAATGCTATTTATTGTGGAAAAAGAAAAATCAACCTTGGTAGAAAGACTTGTGGGTATTTAAAAATAATCATTAAAATATGAACGTGTCATAGACATTGTACTTGGATTTTAAATGCTCCAAGGTTAGCTGGTTAAATCCCTTCCATTATTAAAGTACCCTTAAAATTAGAAATGGAAATTTTCTGTTCGGATAATCATCTATTCCTGGGAGAAACAATTCTGTGATGTTTCCTTGTTCTTGGTACACTGCAGAGTCTTTTAAGAACAAAGAGTTATTCTCAATTCAAGCTGGACTAGGCTGTACGGACTGAACTCCAGCGTTATTTCTGAAATTCTGTATTCAGTGGGGAGGATGGAACAAAATGATTAGGAGATGGGACCCAGAGACCTTCTGGGAAAGATATTTTTGCTGGTTCTGTGCTTTTTCTTCCAATTTGTTTTTCTATCTCTTGCCATCCTAACCACCCACTCTTTATGCCAGCAAATTAATGATCTTGGAGAATAAGAATATTATATGTCCACTAATTAATTTAATTTAGAGTTGCTGTCCTGGCATCAGAAATCTGACCATGCAGTGGTGTCTATCGAATTCTTTGCAGCCTGTTAAGAACAGGTGCTTGCAAGAACTACTAATTCTGCTTCATTGTCATACAACACATCATGGGGCATAATGCACAGTGACTTGCTTACATTTAGGCTATTCTGTATTAAGCCAGACATTGTTAATCACTTTAAACTTCTGGTTTCTGCATCTTGCACATGGGTCTTTAGGCTTACATAATTCAAAGAAAATGTTCCTTTCCTGTACAGACAGCCTAAGGGACATGCAATGTTACCAGAATATAAAAACAGCACTGACACTCATTTTTAATGACTGACTTGAAATGGAGGTGATTGATTAATTCAACGCAGCAGGCCATGAATTAAGCACTGAGTATTTTTGTTTCTTTTGCTGTGCTGGGTATGGAACCCAGGGCCTTGCACATGCCAAGCAAGCACTCTACTCCTTTATTCTTCCCCACTGCCACCTGCTCTGGAAACTTTTCAAAACGTATGCCTGGAAGCTACAGTATTTAACAGATCAGATTTTGAATTGTATGCAAATTCATAACCCAACTGGGAAATAAGATACTGGTAATGGTATGAAAGAAATGCCTACAGAGAGCCCAGAGCGGGGAGGGACACTGGGACTAGGCCTTTACAGCATTCATATGTGAATATTTGGACATTTTTGTGGACATGTTTTCATTTCTTTTGGATAATACATAGGAGTAAAATAGCTGGGACAAGAATAATTCTATTAAAAACTGCCAAACTATTCCCCCATGAGATTGTACCATTTTACAATCCTACCAGAATTATATGAATTCCAGTTGCTCCACATCCTCACCAACACCCAATATTGTCAGATATTGTCAGATTTAGTGGTGCAATATGCTGGGGATTAAACCCAGGGGCACTCTACCACTAAGCAATATTCCTAGCCCTTTTTATTTTTTTATTTTGAGGCAGGTCTAGCTAAGTTGCTGAGGCAATCCTGGAACTTCCAATCCTCCTGCCTCAGCCTCCCAGGTAGCTGGGATTTCTCCCTTATTCTTACATAAAATGTAGTGTGTTACATATTTCTATACTAAGGGGTTAAAGGTGGCTCCTGGATATCGGCCCCCATATTGTTTACTTCTTCACAAGAGATAGGAACATTAGCTCAAATCCCAGCATTGCCAAATTCAAATTTATAACACATCTTATTGCTTTAAATATAGCCCAAATAAGCATATTTTTAGCTATTTACAGCCTTCCTGCTCTTCATATCCCATGATATCTACTGGCACTAGATAAGATAGAGAAACCCTGAGGATACAAACAACACTATGCCACCATTGCCCATCTGAGCTCCCTACCTTGCTGTTGGGTAACATAACCTAAATAAATTAGTCCCCATTCCAATTCCCCTCTCTACCAGAAGTTCTCTTGCCCTCTTCCCCTTCTGGGTGGTGGCCTATGCTGCTGTCTCTGGAACATACCCAGCTGTGAGATCTTCTCTTATCAACATAATTCAAATTTGTAATATACAAAAACTTATGTAAGGAGGAGGTAAGTTGTAAAAACCTGTCCCAAAGCCACCCAAATAAAGATTGTTTCTGTAATTTACTGATATTTCAGGATCATGTCTTTTCCTTATTCAGTCTTGAGGTCCTCAGTCTCACTACATCTACTCTGTCTTTCCATCTTGCTTATTTTTAAAACAATAAATCCAGGGCAAAGCACCCTCATTCTTGTATGCAGCTACATAGTACTCCATTTTGCAGGTATATCCAAGTATTTAACCAGTCTTTATTTTTTTAAGAGAGAGAGAGAATTTTAATATTTATTTTTTTTAATTTTTGGCGGACACAACATCTTTGTTTGTATGTGGTACTGAGGATCAAACCCAGGCTGCACGCATGCCAGGCAAGTGTGCTACCACTTGAGCCACATCCCCAGCCCATTAACCAGTCTTTATTGACAGAAACTTGGGTTATTTCATTATTGAAATAATGCTGGAAGAAATAAACTTGTACATTCATTAAATTTTTCTTATCTAGGCAGACCTATAGGATAATTTCTCGCAAACTGGATTGCTAGGTCAAAGGGTAAACACATTTGCATATTTGAAAAACATTGCCAATTTGCTCCTCTTACCAACCACACATGAGAGAATCTATTTTCCCATAATCTTACCATTTGCCAATCTGTTCGGTAAAAAATAAATGTGTAACCTTGCACATCTCACTTTGTAAATATTGTTTTTTTTTAAATTTTTTATTGTTGGCTGTTCAAAACATTACATAGTTCTTGATATATCATATTTCACACTTTGATTCAAGTGGGTTATGAGCTCCCATTTTTACCCCATATACAGATTGCAGAATTACATCAGTTACACATCCATTGATTTACATATTGCCATACTAGTGTCTGATGTGTTCTGCTGCCTTTCCTATCCTCTACTAGCCCCCTCCCCTCCCCTCCCCTCCCCTCCCCTCTTCTCTCTCTGCCCCCTCTACTGACATTCATTTGTCCCCCTTGTATTATTTTTCCCTTTCCCCTCACTTCCTCTTGTATGTACTTTTGTATAACTCTGAGGGTCTCCTTCCATTTCCATGCAATTTCCCTCTCTCTCTCCCTTTCCCTCCCACCTCTCATCCCTGTTTAATGTTAATCTTCTTCTCATGCTCTTCGACCCTACTCTGTTCTTAGTTACTCTCCTTATATCAAAGAAGACATTTGGCATTTGTTTTTTAGGGATTGGCTAGCTTCACTTAGCATAATCTTCTCTAATGCCATCCATTTCCCTGCAAATTCTATGATTTTGTCATTTTTTAATGCAGAGTAATACTCCATTGTGTATAAATGCCACATTTTTTTTATCCATTCATCTATTGAAGGGCATCTAGGTTGGTTCCACAGTCTTGCTATTGTGAATTGTGCTGCTATGAACATCGATGTAGCAGTGTCCCTGTAGCATGCTCTTTTTAGGTCTTTCGGGAATAGACCGAGAAGGGGAATAGCTGGGTCAAATGGTGGCTCCATTCCCAGCTTTCCAAGAAATCTCCATACTGCTTTCCAAATTGGCTGCACCAATTTGCAGTCCCACCAGCAATGCACAGATGTACCCTTTTCCCCACATCCTCGCCAGCACTTGTTGTTGTTTGACTTCATAATGGCTGCCAATCTAACTGGAGTGAGATGGTATCTTAGGGTGGTTTTGATTTGCAATTCTCTGACTTCTAGAGATGGTGAGCATTTTTTCATGTACTTGTTGATTGATTGTATGTCCTCCTCTGAGAAGTGTCTGTTCAGGTCCTTGGCCCATTTGTTGATTGGGTTGTTTGTTCTCTTATTGTCTAATTTTTTGAGTTCTTTGTATACTCTGGATATTAGGGCTCTATCTGAAGTGTGAGGAGTAAAGATTTGTTCCCAGGATGTAGGCTCTCTATTTACCTCTCTTATTGTTTCTTTTGCTGAGAAAAAACTTTTTAGTTTGAGTAAGTCCCATTTGTTGATTCTAGTTATTAACTTTTGTGCTATGGGTGTCCTATTGAGGAATTTGGAGCCCGACCCCACAGTATGCAGATCGTAGCCAACTTTTTCTTCTATCAGACGGCATGTCTCTGATTTGATATCAAGCTCCTTGATCCATTTTGAATTAACTTTTGTGCATGGCGAGAGAAAGGGATTCAGTTTCATTTTGTTGCATATGGATTTCCAGTTTTCCCAGCACCATTTGTTGAAGATGCTATCCTTCCTCCATTGCATGCTTTTAGCCCCTTTATCAAATATAAGGTAGTTGTAGTTTTGTGGATTGGTTTCTGTGTCCTCTATTCTGTACCATTGGTCCACCCGCCTGTTTTGGTACCAGTACCATGCTGTTTTTGTTACTATTGCTCTGTAGTATAGTTTGAAGTCTGGTATCGCTATACCGCCTGATTCACACTTCCTGCTTAGCATTGTTTTTGCTATTCTGGGT